GCACGAAGAAACGCGGCGGGAGAGCAAGGGGCGCCAGGGTCCGGCGGGAGGCGAGGGCAGAGCGAGGGGCCCGCGCGGGTGGCCCGGGGAGGCCGGGGGGCGGCGGGGACAAGGCCTCAAGGGGCCTGGGGACGAAGGGCCAGCCTCCCTCCAAACGCGGCCTCGCCCGGGCGAAGCTCTTCCTTCCCCGATTGTCCCGAGAGGGCCTAGTCCCCTCCCAGGCGATGACTGAGTCGTCCCCAAACTCACCCTCTACCGACTCTTCTCTCCTCGGAGTAACGGCGACGCCACACGGCCTCTACCGTCCCAAGAAAAGAGCGCGCGACCGCCGGAAACGAGACGATGGAGCTCGGCGCCTCCCCAGGGGTGCAAGCGGCCGTCCGCGATTGGGTATCTGACCTGCTCATCAGCATTGATCCCCAGAGGCGGAACCAGTTCGCCGCCATTTCCGCGATCCTATTGGCTACAGGACGCGAACGACGGAGTTCGTGTGAACGACAGATGGGGACAAAGAGCGCGGTTCTGCGCCCAGTGCGCACGCGCCAGGCGCCGTCGGCTCCGGACCGAAGGGGAAGGGGGGGAGGGGGATGGAGGCTCGGAAGGAGAGACGCGAACGGACTAACGGAAAGGCTGAGAGCCCGAGTGACGGGAGGGGGAGCGGCGAGGGACAGAAGGAAGGGAGAGGAACATGGAAAGAGAGGGAGAGACGGAGACAGAGCCGGGGGTAGGGCGGGATGAGCGCGTAGGCGTGCGCCGAGGCGCCCTGCACTGCGCCTGTGCGGGGAGCGGGAGTAACAATGTCATTGTAGTCTGTGTACTAGATCTAGCCTTTTCCTCCTGAAAAAAATGCCCCGCCATGTTTCTTTTTTCACACTTCCTCATTAGGGCTTGCACTCCGACGCTCCATAGTCGATCACGTTGCTAGCTGCTTCTCCCGCTGCCGGGTCTGCTCGCCAAGCCCACCTGCAATAGTCTTCGCTACGGTGATGGTGATGGTTGTGGCTCTGGTTCTGGGGGGGGGGGGGGGGGGGAGCAGAGGCAGGATTGATACTTTATTCATTCTGTGATTACACAGAATTGGAGCCAGCACCCTCATTTCCATGGTAACCAGGGAACCCAGCAGTCCAAACACTATTGTTACTACGATTTACAGAGTTTCAACAGGTGTCATCATTGCCATGGATACATCGTAGGCCTCCAGATGGACCGATTCTGTGTTGTGTAGGGCAGCAATCAAGCAATCTCCTTCGTTTTGCCCTAATGCCTGACTCACGAGCCCTGTGCTTAATCGAGAGCTACAGGGCTCAACTGATAGGCGTCTGTAGTTAATTCCCACTCACTAATTCACACTCGGGGTTTCAGAGTGTCCCGCTGGCTCCACCTTACGTGGGGACACAGTGAACTAGACCCACACTGTCCAATAGAACCTGCTGCAGTGGTACAAATAGTCCTTATCTGGTCTGTCCAATACAGTATCCACCGACTATAATGTAACCATTGTGGGTTTCGTTGTTTTTTTTTCTTCCTCCCTCCCTTCCTTCCGTCCGTCCTTTTTCTTTTTGAGGCTTTGAAATATGACTAGTGCAACTGAGGAACTGGATTGTTAATTCTATTTCATTTTAATTAGCTCAAATTTAAATAGTCACACGTAGCTAGTGGATACCATGTCGGACGTATCTAGGTCAGTGGTTCCCAAACTTTTTGAAAATAAATAACACCTCTACCGTGAAAAAAGGAAATTTTACCTCTATTCTGAAAAAGACATTTTTTTTTTCCTGCTCGTGGGAAAAAAATCAAACGATACTCAACAGTATAAAAAGTCTCTCCCTCTACTCCTTCCGATGGTAGCGATTATGGCCACTTTCTTGCATTTCTGTTTTCTATGTTTGTACTGTTCTGATTAAACAGAAACGTTTATGCTTTTTTATACAGGTTAAACTATACGGACTTTTCTGAGTCCTCACCTACTCAATACGTTAGCTATCTTTCTATATAAATGGATAAAGATCTACGAGGATGTTTTAATATCAAGTATCTTATAGACCACCACATGATGGTTATTAAAATCTGTTGAGGGAAAAACTTACAAAAAGGTTACTATATATTCAGTAACATTTTAATGAATTTAGACTTTGTTAATCATAACAGCTGTTTACATTGGAAAACTAAAGTAGAAAATTAAAGGAAAGAACATATACATTTGTGTATCTCCTCAAGGCAATCCCAATGTAAGAAATGTTCATGTAAATGAATAATCGAATAAGCTCAGTGATGTCTCATCATCTCTCTTTATTAAGCCTTATGTTATAGAAATATCGGGGCTTTTTTTTAATCTCCTTTATTCATTTGTCCATTTCATCCAATAAACATTTATCGAGTATCTATCAGGGACTATGCTAGATGCTGGAGATAGACATGAGGAAGAGTTGGTCCCTACTGTTGGGTCGCTCACAGGCTAGCTTTTCCACAGTGTCACCCTAAATGCATATTTCCTCTTATTCACTCCAGGGCACTTCGGAATGGTATAACACAGTAAGTAGGAATCCACGTGTTTCCGGAGTTAAAGAGCGAACCTCACTCTAATCAATGGCTGCCGAATAGTGCTTCCATTTGTTTGACCAAGCCATATGTAGCCCTGCCTGTCTCGAAAAAACAAACGTTTGACATCCAGCAGTAGTTAATTAAAGCACATGACGGAACGATATACAGCCGTTACAATGATCTGGTATAACATCTCGTACAAGATAATTCCCATTTTGTAAAAACATGTAATAAAAGGACTGGAAATACATACATCAAAAAGAGCAGTGGTTATCTCCAAGTATAATGGGTAGGGTATCAGCGATTCTTGCTTTCTTCAGCCTTTCTGTGCTTTCCAAAATGTTTACGGTTACATTTATTTATATTTCTGTAATGAGAAAAAAAATGTATAAATGAAAGGGCTCTCATGAGGACAGGGACTGAGTTTTTACATGTTATATTGTGCTCGCAGCATTTTAAGGAGCGCCTTGTGGATGGTGAATAAGAAGTAGGAGAATCCAGGACTATGCGTGAATGTAACAGGAGAATACAGTACTATGCGTTAACTATAGCATTCAAGGCTGAAAATGCAAACGTTGAATTGCCCGCCACACTCTTATCCTACCCGCTCCCCATCGGCCCATTCTATGTTACAGCCTTTCACAGTCCCATGGGCACTCTTGGCTTAGTCAAAGACAAATATAGATATATATATTTAAAGAATATGAAGGCTCCACGGTGCAAAGTCCCAGACCGTGCATGAAGTCAGATATATTTCTCTTGTAATAACAGTAACCGGTATCCACTAAACACCTGCGGTATCCGCTAAACACCTGCTATATGACAGACGGGTGTCCATGTCACTTAATCTTAGTAGCGTCCCTATGAGGTATTAGCTCCATTATTTCCTTGCAGTCTTTTTCCATGCACACATGTGAATTTCTCTGCAAAATTTGTATCATTTTAACTCCTTTCTACAAAATGTAACATTACATCAGGAACATTCTCTCTCTCCAACAGCCTCCCCTGACTAGCAACACACCTGGCCAGGGGGATACATTCCTTAAAATCGAGGAACATACATTGACACATTATCATTCAAAGGTCATAGGTTACATAAAAGTTCACCTCGTGCTGTTTGAGTTTTGACAAATGTAAAATATATCCACCATTATAGTCTCACCGGAATAGCGGCACCATTTTGGTTAAAAGTGGTTGTTAATGAGTACATCCATTGCATGACTATAACCAAAATTGATTTAACTAATTACCTACTATTGGACATTTAGATTGTTTGCCTATCGGTGTTTCATGGATGAGAAAGGTAAGACCCGGCGACTGGACAAGTGACTTGTCCAAAGTCAACTGGCTGAGAAGTGGGCAGAGTTGAGATTCGAGTCACTTTCATGCGATCGGATAGCACTGCCTCGGAATGAATAATACGCCCGTTAACCGCCCTTCGACTGTCTGCCCACGACTGAAACCAGGCATTCTCCAGAGCGGCCAAGGCCCCAAGCGCGTGTTGGGAAGGGCAGGCGGGTCAAAAGACCGAGGTGCCCCAACTGAGATGGAAGACATTGAAAGTGCAAAGAGGGGTACAGAGACCTAGAAGTAAGCAGACGTGGGTGGGAGATGGGTACGGAGTGAAAACTCCCGGTTTTATCTCTGCGTATAAGGAGAGCGGAGATCCCCTCAAGGCCGTGTGGACAGTCGGGAAGGGTACGGTCTCCGGGAAAGCGGACGGGACGCGGACGGGGACGGGGACGGGGACGGGGGAGGAGGACCGCAGGGCTAGGAGGGGTTGGGAGAAAGGCGCCGGACACCAAACCTCCGCCTTCCCCACTCTGTGGCGGGACTGCCTTCTGGTCTGGGCCTGCCCTGCTGTCTCAGATCCTAAAGTCTCCAGCCGGGGTACACGGGAAAGTGGGGAGCGGGGGCCGTAAGGCGCTCTGAGGATAATGGGGACTGAGGACGGATCCTGGCACACGTTTTCTAAAGCCGGTGGGCCTGACGCTGGTGCCCCTTCCCGCGACCCCACTGCTCAAGCCTCAACCTCAGCCACACCCACAGGCTAAGGACCATCCAGGAGGGGGGCGTGTGTGCGCGCGCGTGCGTGCTCGTGCACTTGCGAGGCAGAGACAGAGACGGGGACAAAAAGAGACCAGGAGAGAGAGAGAGAGAGAGAGAGAGAGTGCCGCGCCAGGGAGAGGGCGGGGGGAGGAAAGAGATCGACAAGGACGGAGAGGAAGAGGGAGGGAGGGAGAGACAGAGACAGAGACAGAGACAGACAGTGGCAGAGAGAGAGAGAAACAGAGACACAGAGACAGAGACAGACAGAGACAGAGAGACAGAGAGAAGGAGGCAGAGCTGCCGGCCTCGGGCAGGAAAACTACTGAAGAGCTAAGGCAGGGAGCTCCTGGTGGAAGAGTCGAGGACATCCCAGAACTTACCCTAAGATGTTGAGGGAGTGGGGGAGTGTCTTTGCGGGACCTGGTTTTGGGGTCATCAGGCTCTTACGGCATAGGCGTTGTCACTGAGCCAGAGCCGTTTATCCCGCCCTGGGGGGCTGGAGACCGAGCTTAAGACACCCCACAACTATGACTCTTAGGCTCGCGGGG